TGGGTTATTACCTCATATGGGGTTTGGATGCAATTTTTTTCTTCTTACGATCTTATTTTTATTACTAAATAATATAAAAGTGAAGTAATATAAAAGTAAAGTAAAAGGAATTTAAGGCAGAATAAGGGTAAAATAGGAAAGGGAAAGAACAAAAAATAACCAAATTGATTAAAATGTATTAAAAAATAAAAGGGAGTGTAAGTGTTGAAAAGGGGAGTGGGGAAATCAGCTCCCTAAATATATATATATATATATATGAATATTTAAAAATATATATTTAAAGCGTATAGCCGCTTTGCTATCATGTTTAAATATATTCGAATATTTTAATATTATAGCCGCGCGGCTATACTCTTGAACTCTTTAAATTTATATATTTAAATATTCGTATATATTTAAAGTGTATAACTGCGCTGCTATACTATTAAATTTGGTATGACATCATTCTTTGATGCATCATTACATCTCAGAACAATACCCTCAAGGCTAGCTGGAAAGATACATTTGGCCCACTCACATCCTGTCGTGATCGGCTCAGGGGTAGGAACGATCATCAGCACATTGTCATAAACTTACTAAAAACTAAAATTAATAGAAAGTACGAACTGCTACTACCCGGTATACACTTCCTAAAAACATGAAGACTAGATATTTGAAAGCACACTATAAACTCTTCATAATGGGCATTTATGTTTAACACAACTCTAAAAACGATTAGATTATGAGGGAAAAACGCAGAAGCATTTATGATTTATAATTATACGAAAAAAGCAAGAGATATTACCCTTCTTTCAACCGCATCATGCGATCATCACTTGAAAGATTCCTCTCTCCCAACCACCTAAAATAATTAAGCATGCCACATCCTAAATGTAGTAGCACCAATTGTGCTTCATGCTGTAAGCTTCTGCACTGAACACACCCATATAAACATGTATTTGTGCTACCAAGAAAAGATAACAATGAGACCCGTGGGACTTCACTTATGGTGTGAAATGCAGTGCTCTTGAAAATAATGTACATATTTGGGCCTGAGATCCATAGTGAGTAATAGTGGTCTACGCATGATATTAAAAAATTGAGAAGGATTTCAGGCTTTAACCATTTGGACTTGAGTCCACATCCATAAAGTGAAGAGTTTATGATCAACTTGTGGTATAGTATGTATGTGATCCCAACTCAAAAGGAAAAGAGAAGCATATATGTTCATGCCAGGGCCAGTTCAGTGTGTAAAGGCCTAAAAGGCAGGCAAATCCACATGTATAAAAATAAGGGTGAATCCACATGAAATCAATCTGCTTTACGAATATACAGACCACTGATGGTACAAGTTTACAAAGGATGGTACATTTCAGATTAGCTAGGCAGAAATTTTTTAATGAAAATGAAAAGAAAAAAAATAGGATTTCCATTTCTAAAGGAAAATCTTGAAATTCATCCAATATTACTCATCATCCATTCTACTTCTTGCCTCATGTTACCCTCCAAGGGCAACGAGTCTCCATTACCAAAGAAAGGCCTTTGTCTTTTCTTCATAGCAGCAGCCAGTGAACTCATATCCATTGGAGAAACAGGGCTTCCAGTTGATGTCAAGCAGCTATCAACAGAGCAGTTGCCAAGCCGAGCCAGTACATTGGAGGCATTTCTGTTCTCTAAAGCGGCAGCAATTTCAGACAAGGAAGGCATTTTCATGGTATCAAGTGGGGTTATCCCTTCACAGTCATTGGAAACCTTAATGGCTAGTTCAGAGAGTTCCTCCTTAGCAGCTTCAAGCCCAGCAGCCGATGCAGCCTGGTCATTCAGAGCCTTACAAGCTTTCTCGAGTATTGACTGAAGATACTTGCCCTGTGCTTCAATTCGAAGTTGAAGACGACGCTGAACCTGCTTACAATATTAGCCATAAGAAATTGCTGCTTAAAAATCATAATTAAAATAGCATGCCACTTGAGGGGGGAAGAACAAAGAAAAATGAATAAACTGGACAGACGAAGAGTATTTAAGTTCAAAGCTGCAAATGGATTAGTTTTACAGGATCAAGGCAACCTGAAATATACATATTTAAACAAGGTTATTTTTCTCACGAAGAGCTCCTGACCTGTGGTTATATTTAGAAGTTCATGTGGCCTTTGCATAATTGGTAAACAAATGATACAATTGCTCAAGGTGGTTTTTGGTCATGCGAAAACCTATAAGCCTGCATATTACTAGCTAAACAAAACAAACAAAAGAGACTAACCTCCAGCTGACGAAGAGCTCCTGACCTGTGGTTATATTTAGAAGTTCATGTGGCCTGTGCATAATTGGTAAACAAATGATACAATTGCTCAAGGTGGTTTTTGGTCATGCGAAAACCTATAAGCCTGCATATTACTAGCTAAACAAAACAAACAAAAGAGACTAACCTCCAGCTGCTCATGCAGTCTCCGTTGGACTTCCATTTGTACTCGCAAAGCCTCAGTAACCTGGTAGCCACTGTTTGAAACATGAAAAACAACAATTACGTGAAAATTGATAAGCATTAGTAGTAATTACTGAAAGAGGAGTAATAAGTGAAAGATCAAATACTCATTCAAATCTTGCGCCATCACTCTGGATGAGGTTGCTGAGGATGAACCAGTGTCCTGACTTTCAGCAATGCAAGAAGCTGCAATCCCTACACATTATTATGTAACTAATAAGTTTTCCAACAGCCACAACTTCTC